CGCAGAGCTCGGGGTGCTGGGTGGCACCCCAGAGCCTGGCTGAGGGCGCGGGGACACGATCACGAATTTTGGCTGCCTCCCGTCCCAGCGCTCCCCGCACACCACCGTGCCATCGCTGCTGCCTGGCTGCTTTTCAAGGACTAAAATGCTCCAGCAGCCAGGTGGAATTTACAGCCCACGGTGCCCCGAGCCCACAGTTTCCCCCGGGATAAGCCCAGTTTGTCCCCAGCGAGGACAGCAAGTCGGCTTTCCGGTGACAGCCAAATTGTCGCTCTTAAATCCAAAGCAAACAGCTTATTACCTGCTGCAAAGGAGCAGAGGGCCAGGCGCTCATCCGCTCCCACCCTGCCAAGCTTTCCTTCTGTGCCTGCAGGGATCGAGGTTTTGGAGGGGCTTGTGGAGGAAATCTGGCTCCCAGCCACCCGTGGGATGGCTCCTGGCACTCCAGGGACCCAAAGGTGCCCACCTTGGCGCATAGCCGGCTGCAAAGCGGCGTAGCCAGGTAAAACCTGGCTGCAAAAGCAGCGCTCAGCGTCCTGAAACTGCAACGCCACGTGTGCACCCTGATGACGGTGTCGGTCCCACAGCAGTGACCCGCTGGCACGGCCACAGGCCGGCAGGGCTGGGCACGGTGTGGGTTACGTGAGGAAGCAGCGCTGGCGCCGGGCGCAGATGGTGCCAGGGGATATTTTGGGCTCCATGGGCAGGACACATTCTGTTCCCGTGAGCTAAGGCAGCGACTGGGGGCCGGTCCCTTCTCTCCCACTCACCACCTCGCAAAACCCTCACCAGGGTCCCTGGGCAGCTCTGGGGCTCCACTGCTGGCAAGAGACTGGGAGGGACTGGGAGCACTGGGGCTGCAGGGCTCAACTCCATGCAGTCTGGGGTGACCACGGCAGAGGCTTTGCCAAGGCAGCTGCTCACTGCTGGGAAATGTGTGATCCCACGGGAGACACGGAGGATTGCCCACGGCTCTATGGACACAGGCGCTGGGCAAAGCCAGGGCAGAGAACTGCACCCGCCACCACCACTCGCTTGAGCTGAACCTCCACATCCACCTCACGCTTGAAGAATTGCTTTTTTTTCCAGCCTGAATTTATCCATCTCCAGCCCATGCAGTGGGTCCAGGTGTCTGCTTGCAGCCATACGGCAACGAGCTGCCAATGCTCGGGGCACAGATATCCCTCCTCATCTCCAGCCCTGCAGGAACCCCTGCACAGGCTGAGCCCCATCCTGGCCAACTTCCAGGGTGGGAACTTTCCTGACTGCTCAAATCCCTCCTGGAGCTTGGCCGGGCACCAGGCTCGGCGAGAGACGACCCTCGGCACGGCACCATGCCGCTGCACCCTCCCCATGTTACAGCACGGCGAGGGCAGCTCAGTCCCAGTAATGCCCATTTTGCAAAGCACTTTGGACTCCATCAGCCTTAAAGCGCTCATTCAGCACAGCCCATGATTATTATTATTATTATTTTCCCATTGCATTGCTGCATTTTAAACACAGCTAACGTGTTATGTTTTTAAATTGAGGGCAAGTGTAGTGCAAAAAGATTACATACATTGGGATCATAACTATCAGCTACAGGTAGGGAGATTATTAACACACTTTCTGCCCTGCAAGACAGACAATGAAAGCTGCCGATAATTTATATATATGCATACAAATTGCAGGCCTTGGTTAAACACAGGGTGAGGAATTTATTGGTTTGTAATTGTGACCACCTGAAAAAAGGAAGGGAGTTAAACTGACACAGTGACCCAGGCGATGAGTTAAAGGAGGCCCACGGCGCCGGCTCAGCCCTGAGTTATTTGACGCTATAGCAGAAAAATGGAGAGAAAAATAAAGCAAGGGACTGGTCCTTCCCGGGTGCTCTTGCTGCTGGCGGTCATCTGTCTGGAGAAGCGCCGAGTGCCGGTGGTAAACCCTTTGCGGATTTAAAATAAAACTGGGGCAACCAGGGAGGAAAATTTGGAGCCTAATCTGGGACTGGATGCTAAGGCCAAGCTTTGCAAGACTGTAGGACGGAAAAAAAGGGATTAAAAATAACACTTTCAAGAACCTTCCTGCTTTGCAGCTCCCTGAGCGAGGCTCAGGGCAGCGCTGGCTCCAGGCACCAGCTCCCTCCTGGGCTGAACCCTGGGGACGAGGGAGCTGGGGGCTCCCGAGCAGCCCACGGGCTCTCCCCTTGGGTCCACGAGCACCCTTTTCCCTCTGCTTTAACGTGAGGCTGTAACATCCACACGCACACCGCCTGGGAGGTGTCTAAATAGGGCCTCAACGGAGGAGAGGGGCAGAGGAGCAGCAAAGATGGGGTGGATGATGGGCACGGAGCTGGCATCCCACCCCGACCGGGTCACTCCACATCTTCTTGCAAACACAGCAGGAGACCAGCAGAAACAAGAGAAAGTCACACAAACAGATATCGTCCCTTCCTTGCTGCTGGGTGGGCAATGCCACCGGCACTGGGGTGCAAACCGTTGCTGGGGGAGAAAACCTTGGTGCACCGGGGATGCTGGGCTGGTACAGAGGGGTGCTGGAGCTTGGGCTGCTGCCAGCCACCCTGAAAGCACAGATATATATATCTCTGTGTATATATATACACTTTATTTATACATATATATATAAAAATAAAAATACATGTACATATATATATATTTTTAAGCACAAGAGGAGGTGACCTGAGCTCATGCCCTCTGCTCCCCAAACCAAACCACCATGCAAATCATGCACCGTGCAAGCGAGCAACGCACCCAGCTCCAGCCGGCTGCTTGGAGCCTTGCCCAAGCCAAAATCTCTCCCAGCTGCTGCCGCGGCGCAGCCCCACGCTCGCAGCCCTCCTTCCACCTGCCCCACAGCACCCAGAGCCGAGAAAATCATCGCAAGGCGCTGACTCACGCCGGACACCGCTTGCTCGGGTGTTGTAAACCGGTCGCCATTCCTGATGGGTTTGCAATTGCTGATGCATCACCCAGGCGCTGGGGTTTAAATATGAGCCTGGCCTGAGTTTGCAGGGCTGTAGTTTGGGTGCTGGGGGGCATTGCTGCTCCCTGGGTGTCCTCACACCCGGTTGGACTCAGTCTCATCCTGGTTATTTGATATTGCTGGGAAAAGCAAGACTGAGTGGGGATGCAGAGCAGTGACCCCACGAGATGCTGGTGCTGTTTTCACCAGATGCACCAGGGTGAAACTGCAGCAAAGAAGGATTTTCTTCTTTTTTTTTCTTTCCCCAAAGGCTCAGCCCCTCCCAGCATGGCTTAGAGACCAGAAACGGCGCCTTTACTTGGAGGATTTCTTCCATTTGAACAAAATGTTTTGCATGCCTCAAAGAAAGCCAGAAGGCAGCAGGAAAAAAATCCCTCCTCGGACAGAATCTCCCCCTTGACTTGACCCTTCTCTAATGATTGTCATTGAGCTGCCTCTAAAAGATGCCATTTTCTCATTTCTTTTGAAAAACCAACACACAAACACAATTTTCCCCTCTTTGCAGCTGAACTGCCGGTGCCATCCCACAAAGACCTCCAGCCACACCAGGTCCCCGAGACCCCGCAGCCAGACGCCTCTATGTATACAGTAGAAAAGCCACTAGCATTAAAAATCTCAAAGCGCCCTCCCTAAAATCATGCTAGACTCACTTAAAAACAACCTCATGGTTGCCGTTCCCAGTATATTTGGGGAATAAACCCACCACCCCCTGGGGCAGGGAGCTCTTACCCTGGCAGGGGCTCCCCTAGGGATCCTGGGGGGTCTCATGCACCCCCAGGTCCCCACATGGTGTTGTCCCCTCACTGGCTGGATGTTACAGGGTGACACCCTAAAAATACAGCACTTGAGGGGGGGAGCTTTGCTTTTTTCCTCTGCAGCCCTAAGGCACCATCGGTGGCTCAGCCTCCTCGGCCAGGGCTGGAAAAACACGCTGGGAAATATTTGGAAGCTGTGACTCAGCGCAGGAAAACTGCTCAGCCCCGGCTGACGCCTCCTGCAAGCCCAGCAAGCACAGGCAGGGCCCCCCCCCTGCACCCCAGGGGGTTTTCTGGTGCCTTGGAAGCATTAAGCTAACCTTTACCTGCGGTTTTTGCAGTTCTCCTCTGCGAGACATTTGCTAAACCCGCCTGCAGTCATCCGTCATGCAAAGAGGACCTGGACAGACGCCTGGATGGGGACTCCAGCCCAGGGACTTTGGCATGACCGGCAAATCCGAGACCCACCCTCCTGCCTCAGTTTCCCCAGTGCCGTTGAGCTGCCCCAAGAGCACTTTTTCCCTGGGCATGATGCAAATAGAGGCTCTGCCCTATAAACCCCCAGCAAACCCTTACCATGCCAGTAGTGCCTGAGCCCCATCCAGCATTGCTGCCCCCAGCCCCATGTGCCCCACTCAGACGGGCAGCACGGCAGGTCCTGCCTGTCTGCAGGGGCTGGAGGGTCCAGACAGCCCCCGGAGCCAGGATCTGGCTCCTTGCTGCTTTTCAGGCACGCAGCGCAGGGATGCGTCTCGGTCTGCAGGGACAGGGCTGGAGCAGGGGGACAGGCAAGCCCTCCTTGGGGATCATATCGGCAGCTGCCAGGGGCTCCTGCCTGCACCCTGATAAGTGCTGGGCTCCATATCACGGGGCTGGGGTGGCCCTAGTGCCACTTCACCCCCCTCCCAGCTCCACTGCAGCCTGCTCAGCTCCATCCCAGCAGCAGGACCAGTGCATCCCATGGGACATGTGCGTCCCACATTGGGACGAGTGTCGGTGCCCCAAATCCTGGCTTTCTGGGAGGGTGCTACATGCAGGAGAGGCTGGGAATGGTCACTGCAAGGCCGCCCCATTTGCCCCCTTGGACAACCCAGGACTGCTCCCAGGCACCCCCAGAACGGTGGGACACCCCCATCCCATACTGTGCTATGCAGGATCAGTCCCTGGGGCTGAGCAAGGGCAAAGGGAAGCTGCATCTCACACCCGCTTGCTTGGCAGCGCTGCCCTGCAGAGATTTGGAAAAAGAAAAACAGAAAAAGAAAAAAAACCGAACAACTTTATTTTTTCAAACAAGATCTGTAGCAAAGTCACAGTGGCATTTCCCTGCCCAGTCAGGAGTAAATACACCCAAAAAAAATACAGAAATAACTTAACTGGAGCTACGGTTCAGCTGAGACAAACCAAGGGTGGCTGAGTGGCAGGCGATGCTGCTGGACCCGGACCCACGCTCCAGCAGAGCCAGGAGCAGGATTCTCCCAACCAGGCACCTCCCCGGCGACCCGCGCCGCTGGGAAATGCTCTGGCACATTTGGGTCAAGCTCCAGCCACCCCATGTCCCACCCCATCACCTTCACAGCAGGCAGGAGGGCAGCCCCAGGCAGCCCTGTGCCCCAACACAGCTCCCCACCTCAACCATGAAGGTTGAGGCAGCAGAGATGCGCCAGGGGCTGAAAAATGATGCAAAAAAAGGTGTAAAACACCCCGCAGGCACTCCTACCCTCACCTTGCTCCTGCCCTGGGACCCAGGTTAAGAGGCACTTCACATTCCAAATTGCAGGGGCTCGGGCAGGCAGAGCTTAACCCCTCCTGCAGCCCTGCCAGCCCCGATACGAGCGCTGGGCTGGGGTCCGGCCGTGCCAGGGTCCACGGAGAGGAGCGGCGAGGGGCCGCGCACACCCCCAGCCACGGAGGGGATGTCCCCATGTCACAGCAGGCGCTGAAGGCAACAGAAACACCCAGGTCAGGGCAGGGAGGAGTTGCGGAGCCGCAGTCTCTCCCCCAGCCACGCAGACCCCAACATGGGGGGGACTCAGCTGGGAGACGAGTGGCACTGGGGGCTGCCCGGCTGGGCGACGGGATGGCCGGATCCTTCCCACCACTCCTGCGGCGCGTTCCTTGGGGGCGAGCCAGAGAGGTGGGGAGGGTGTGCGAGGGCAGCATCCCCACCAGCAGCTGCATGTCTTCCAGCACGATGAGACCCCAAAAAGCAGCGGCAAAGCCCACGACCCCCTCTGGTGATCCCTGGCACAAGGGCAGCCCTCCGTGGCGGCAGTCTTGGTGCCAGGAGGTGGCACAGAGGTGTAACACCAGCACTGCATGGTAAAGGCAGCATCCACGAGCACCCCAATTTGGATTCATTTGGGCTCCCCCTGAGAAAGGCACGGAGCGGTCGAGCACCCCCAGCTCTGCCAAGCCCCGGGCAGCACTCCGGTGTTTTCCCAGCACTGACAGCTTCTTGGGGGTCCCCTCTCCTGGGATGAGGGGCAGGGAAGCCCCCTCTTTCCTTCCACAACTCCAGCCCCCTTAACGGGGGGGAGACAATATTCCAGCAAAGTCTTTAGGGTACCAGCTCCCACCAGCCTTTCCCCCAAACCTGGGGCAGGAGGAGGAGGAGGGAGCAAAGGCCGGTCAGGTCATGTAGCGGGTGACGGCTCTCAGGGCGTAGAGCAGAGCCGCCTGCATCCGAGCCTCCAGCAAGAGCAGGTTGATGTGAACCTACACATGGAGAGCGGGGTCAGGGCACGGGGGGGGCTCAGCATCCCCCCACACCCTGCCAGGAGGGAAAGGGATGGGCCAGCACCTTCTCTGAGTGCTTGAAGTGTCTCCAGAACTGCGTATACATCCGCTTGGTCGTCTTCTCCGGGTAGCAAGCCACCGTCTTGATGTAGACCTTCAAGCTGCGCTCCAGGAGCTGGTTCACCTCCCCGTAGTCATAGTCGTCATAGCTAAGGGAGAGAGGAGGGTGCGTTACCCTCGGGCTTAACCCCTGCCCATTCGCACACCCCAGGCTCTTTCTGGACCTAAGCTGAGCCCCCCAACAGCATCACTTTGCCTTAGCCTAAGCAGCAGCTACAATCTCACCAAGACCAAATCACAGGCTCCCAGGCTGGACCCACTCGTGGGCTCTACCCAGGGTGGAAAACAGGCTTCGGCCACAGCTCGGGGACCTACCGGATGCCGAAGACGCAGTGGACGTAGTTCCAGATGGCTCTGCGCAGCATGGATGTGTCCACGCCGCAGTGCATGGCGATGGTGTTGTACGTCAGGTTGTAGACGACCTGGAATTTCTCGTCCAGGAGTTGCCCCACGTCGGGGTAGAGGCGGTTGATCAGCGAGTAGCCGTGGTCCTCCCAGGTGTAATCCTGCCGGAGAAAAGATGCTGGGGTAGGGGCTTGATGCACTCTATCTCAGCTGAAACCAGGACATCTTCAAAGGCAGGGACGTAAGCTGGGGTGTCCCCCCCCCATGTTGAGCCCCCCAACTATTAGCATCTGGTTGCACTGCTCAGACAGCTCCAGCCTGGTCCCAGCCCTTCACCCTCTGCACCCACGCTGTCTGTGCAATGCCAAGACCCTGGAAAGAGCCCCACTGCTCCCCCCATCAAGACAAGCAGGACCTGCCACCCCTTCCCCTCTGGCCGGCACGGGACCGCAAGCACCCACCTGGGCATGGAAAGTGGGGGGCGCCTGCTCACCCCTCCGCGTGAAGTCCTTGTAGCTGAACTCGGGGTCCTCCACGAAGCAGAGGACGTTGGACTGCAGGGAGTGATCCGCAATATCTACAAGGCACCACCGCAGCAGCTGTGAGCGACGCGGTATGATCCCAAACAGAGCCAGCCCTGCAGCTGGGGGCCTGATCCTGCTCCTCCCTGGGCAGACGCTGGCTCCTTCCCCCGCCCCAACCCATTGGGACCCCATCCTTAGCCAGCTGCACCCCTGCACCTCCTCACCCGAGGGAGTGACCAGCAAACTCTCCGTTTTCTCCAGCTCAAAGCGCGTCGCCATCTCCTCCTGCGTGACCCCCTCCTCCTCCAGCTGGCTTTCCTGCAGCAGCTTCATCCTTTCCATCAGCACCTCCACCTCCTGCATGGCATCTTTGCCCTGGCAAAGCAGAGGGCAGAGTCAATGCTGCCCCAGGTTGAGCAAGGTTGCAGAAGGGTTGCAAGCCCAGAGCAGCATGGGGCCGCTCTCAGCTCTGCTGTCACTTGGAGCAGCCCCAGGGCTGCTCTAAAGAGCATTTGCCTCTGGGTTTGTCCTACCCGGCTCCCAGCTGCCTCCGTGCCTCATCCTGGGGACTGGGAGGAGGGGGAAGCCCTGCGGAGGATGCTACTGCGCGGAGGATGCTACTGCGCGGAGGATGCTACTGCGCGGAGGATGCTACTGCGCGGAGGATGCTACTGCGCGGAGGATGCTACTAGGCGGCCCTAAAGCACCTGCTGTTCCCAATAAAAGGCCTTGGGGCAATTCCCTGGGGAAGCACCATAAAGCAGTCCAGCACCCCACCATGCCCTCCCTTCCCACCCCACATCCCCACACCTGCAAGGCAAAGCCCCCCCTCCCCTTACCCCAGAGCCCCCCATGCTATCATCAGAGGCAGGGCTGCTGTCGCTGTGGGGTGAGGGGGGCCAGCAGCCGTGCCCCCCATCCTGGTCCTCCTCGGGGTTGATGCCGCAGCCGAAGACGAAGGAGGCGAGCGAGTGGTAGTGGGTGAGGAGCACCAGGGCCTGCACCAGCTCCGCCAGCGACCAACTGTTCTCCCCCGTTTTCAGCAGAGCCTGCAAAGCACACGGGGTTGGAAAGACGCCCCCCCAGCCCCTCTGCTCGCTGCACCGTACCCCGCCACAGCACCCCAGAGCCAGGGTAAGCCAAGGGCAGGGAGACAGGAGGGTGTTTGGGATGTGCCTCCCCCATAAGCCAGCTGCTGTCACAGCAGGACAGTCCCCAGCCGTGGGGGGACAAGTCACCCCTTCCCCATCCATCGGGAGCAGTGCAGACCCTGCCCTCTGACTCAGAGATGTCCTCAGCCCTGAAAGGGTTAAACCTGGGGGGTGGGGGGCTTGAGCAAGCAGGGATGGGGTCCCTGGGGTCAAGCCCCCCAAATCGAGTGTGGTTTTGGGGGGGGATCTGCACCAGCAGCATCAGCTCTCACCTCGATGTGCTCCTTGGTGATGAGCCAGGGTCGGTGCGCCAGTAGTTTGTTGATCTCATTGAGGTTCCTGAGTTTTTGGGGGGCATAGTGCAGCCCCTGCAGCCACGCCGGGTTGCCCCCCACCCGCAGGAACTCCTCCATGTGCAAGCCCACCAGGTAGGAGCACTGGTGCCGAGCTGCTGCCTGCGGGGAGAGCCGGGCACTCAGCCCCCGGCACCGGCCAGGGACCCCCCACAACCCTCCTACAAGCCCTTGGAGAAGCCAAGGCAGGGAGCTGCCACCGCTCCTGCAGGGTTTTCCCTGGGGATATGAGTCCAGAGGGGGGTCTCTGCCCACCCCCTCCCATCAATGCTGGTCCTCAGGGGCTCTGGAGGGGAGGGGGGTGCTGGGGTACCCTGGGTGGGCACCACGGGACCAACCCCAAAGGGGCTTCCAAGCCTCTGGGACCACAGATTGGGGAGGGGGGGGCATCTCTGGGGTCCCAAATGCCTTCCTGCCTGCGGGCAAAAACCCCGCGGAGGTGCTGGGACCACACGTAACCCCATGGGACCCCCATCCTCACCATGATGGCGATGTAATGGCGCTTGTGGTAGGGCAGGGGCCCGTCCATGCGCAGCAGGAGGTACTGGGTCTTCCAGAAGCTGCTGAGATACTGGGGGTGCAGCCCCATGACCATGGTGATGTTGTCCACCCTGCCCGCCGAGACGAAGGCTTCGATGAGGAGCTGGCGTAAGCTGCTCTCCACACCTTCCTGCAGGATCTGCCGGGGTGGGGAGAGGAGGGTGGTGAAGGGTTGTGTGCTGCAGCCCCCCACTCTTCCCAACAGCTCCCCCCAACCTAGAGGGAGACCCCTCCGTCAAGCATCAGTGGCTAGCAGGACCCAGGCATCCAGGGGCACCCATCCCACCCCAGAGCACCCATCCCACCCCATCAGACGCTCACCCCATCGGAGGTGGTGCCCAGCCTCCTCCCTGCCGCCCGGTACGGACACCGCCGGCAGCCCCCACTGCCCATCTCCTCCCTCCCAGTCCCGGGGGGCTGGGTGTGATGGGGGGTCTCCATGTCGGACCCCGCACAGCCCGTCCGGCTCAGTCCGCAGCGTTGGGTTGTTTATTTGGACGCTGGTGTGCAGCGGGGAGGAGATGGGGCTCAGCTGCCCCCCCCAGCCTCTCCACCCCCACTGCGGTGACGAAACCATGTCGCTATCTCTGCTGAAGGAGGAACCATCTGGGACACCGATGCTGGGTGCTGAGATAGGGCTGTGGGTGCTCTGGCATGGGGAGTCCTGGGGATTTCAGGGCACAGTTTTTGGGGTGGGGTGGGCAGGGCAGGAGGTGGGCTACCTTTGCAGCACAGGGGAAAGACAGCCGCGTTTGGATGAGTGGGGAAACTGAGGCACAGGCAGGGACTTGGGGCAGGAAAACACCGAGGTAAAACAACACACCTGCTCCCCCCATCCTCTAAAACAAGACACCCCCCCCCCCCACTGCCACAGGGATACCCCCCCAGCTGGGTGACCCTTCCCCATCCCAGCCCTACCCCAACTGGGCATTAGCAACTGGAGGGGGGGTGGGGGTGGTGAGAACCCATCCTTAACAGCCCCCTGTCCCCCCCACCCAGGGCAGGGAGGGGTGGAGGAGCCCCCCAGCAGGGAGGGACGCACCCACCCAAGACCATCCCCACCACCCTTACCTCTCCCAGGGGGATGAAGGCACTGGGACCCTTCCCCAGCTGCTGGGGGACTTCGACCCCTGTGTCCTAGGAAGGAAAGAGCAGCAGCTTTAGTCCGGCACCGGGGTAGCCGGGAGTCACCGAACGTCCCCGGAACGAGCAACTGGCGGTGGCGGGACGAGTACGGCAGCACCGGAAAGGGTGACTCAGGCAGTCACCCCACACGGGCCACGGGGACACGCGGCCATCGCCCCCGCACCCTTGCGTCAGGCTGGGCAGAGCCTGATGAAATCGGGCAGGGGTGTTGCTCTGCACCCCCGGGAGGTGTGACACGCCGGGACGGTGTCAGGACACCGGAGCTGTGGCATCGTGGGCCAGGAGAGCGGGGATATCTCTGGCACCTGGGTCTTGGTTTACCACCGCCATGGGAAAACACAGGGGAAAACCGGAGCTGGGTCTTGGTTTACCACCTCTACGGGAAAACACAGGGGAAAACTGGAGCCCGGGGGGGGTCCCGCAGCAGCATGGATCTGACCATGGCCCTGGCTGCAGCCAGGCACTGCGGCTTGCAATCACCAGCATAAACACAGCACCCGGGGTTCCCACTAACACTCCCCAGGCACAAACGCCGATAAACATCTCCACCAGCTTTTTTTTTTTTTTTTTTTTCCCCCCAAATCTGTTAACACAGTTAAACCAGAAACGAACCACCTGGTTACAGGGCAGCTGCTGCTCTCCATGCTCCAAGCACAGGGTTCGGACCCTTTCTGACCCCCCCCAAGCCCCACCCCCCCCCCCCCCCCCAGCTCCCCAGGGAAGAGCAAGTGTTTCCATGCTATATTTTCTCCCAGCAGATCTTCTCTCTGCTGGCAGGTGGGGGCCGGCTGCACCCAGGGGCAGCAATGGGGATGCTGCAAGTAGGACCCCCCCCAACTAGAACACAAGGGGACCAGGACCCCCCCCAGCCCTCCTGCTGCAGGGGTGGCTCGGTGCCCATGGGGACCCCCCCCCCAGCCAGCCCTGGAGCTGAAACGCAGGGATGCAGCAGAGCCTGAATCCTCCCCCGCTCCACTTTTGCACCGCGGCATCCCACCAGCTTGCAAGTTTGCAACAGCGCAGGGGAAATTTCTCTGCCTGCATCACAGCAGCACCCACAGGTACCGACCGCAGACGGGGGAGGGACGCAACACCCAGCCCCGAGAGCTAAAATAATCCCCCTAAAACACCTCCAGAGAAACCAGAACCTGGTTTGGGGCTGGAAGAAAAGAGTGGAAAAGGGTTCAAGCGCTCCCAGCCCTGGGATGGAGGCGAGGGGAAAAGGGGGCTGGTGCATGGTCCCCCCAAATACAGGGGGGACACGGCGCTTACGTGAAATAAGGACCGAGACGGGGCAGCGGTAGTAGAAAGGGCATCCAGCAGACGAACGCCCACAGCATTGCTTCCTCCAACCCACGCTCCGGATACAGGTGCCAGCGGTGGCACCCATTGCCCACCGCAGAGGAGGTGCCCAGGGCCCCCACTCCGGGTGGGGAAACACCAGCCTCCTTTTCCCATTCCCAGCAGAAATTCCCCGGGTCCCTCTGCCAGCAGGAGCCAGGCTGGCACCGTGAGGTCGGGACCTGTCCCCGAGCACAGGCTGCGCTCGGTCACCTCTGCTGGGACTTTTGAATGGGAGCCCAGCACCAACCATGCAGGCAGGATGCAAGCCTGGGGTCAGGATCTGCCCACTCAGGGAGCTGGCAGGGTCTGAGCCCCCCCCGGGATGCCCAGGACCACCCTGTTCCATCCCATGGCACACAAGCCAGCGGGGAGCAGCGGTGTCACGGAGAACCGGAGGCGGCAGCAGCCATGCCCACGGTGTCGGACACGGCAAAGGTCCCATGGCCCATCCAGAGGGATGCGTCGGCCAGCAGAGACCCGCACCCTGCTTTGCTCTGGGTGCAAGGAGAGACGTGGCAGGGGGGGACGCATAGGGCAGGCGATGGCCACCGGTGACCCCCCGCTCACACCGCTGGGGACACGGAGGAAGCCGGGCACCCCGTCCCAGCGGCTGCGGGTGCTCACACACTCTTCACCACTGGAAGCGGACAGCCTTGCTCCCGCAGCACCCCAGTTACTGGGTGAACTGACCGAAGCGGGAGCTGCACTTGGGATCATCTGCAAGGCTGCTGCTCCCGCAGGACCCCACGGCTCTTGCTGTCCTGGGGGGGAAGGGGGTGGGCAAAGGTATGACCCACATTTTACTGCGCTTCTCCCTCCCGCGGCTCAGCCAGGCAGATGCTCCCCTCATCACATCAGCCACATTGCACCAAGGCAATTCCCAGTGACCCCCTTTCTCCCTTCCCCACATTACCTCCGTCCGCCCACGGCTGTCAAAGGCTCCCCGGGGTGGGCAAAGTACGGCTATCCCCGCACCCACAGCATCAATGCAGAAAAAAAGCAAGCACAGCACCCAGCGGCACCTTCCAAAACTGACAGCACGATCGGACACGCACCTTCCAGCCCGTTAATGACGGGGAAGCTCAAAGGGCAGCTCTGCCCCCCAAACCTGCTCTCTCCCCCCATGCTCAACGTCTGGCATCACACCCGGTGCCGTGCTCCCGGCCTCCTGCAACTGGGCAGGAGAGGCTGCGACGAGGTGGCAGCGAAGTTCCCGCTGCCGGGATTCACCTGCGGGAGACGGGACACGGGACACATCACGGGGCAGGGGTGCCGACGGCAGGACGGCACGTCCCGCTCTCCAGCCGTGGAGCAACGGGCCAGGGAGCCGCTTCTCCCAGGGGTCTTTTCCACGGACAAGCCCCGGGGCTGCCGCCCAGCTTCGCTAGGAGAGATACTCGAAAGCTGGAGCCGGGCACAGCCCAGGTGACGGCGGGTGCCTTCTCCTGCCAGCTGGCTCCAAATCAGCCCCGAGGCAGCGGGTGCAGCCTGGCACCCTCTCCCGAGCAGGGAAGGGGTGTGGGTGGGATGGCACGAGGTGACCACGCAGCAGCTGCCAGCGCGGCCACGTGCTCCCCAACGTGTCGGGCAGCGGGTGACGGCACGCCAGGGGCACTCGCCGGCACCGGGCTGCAGCCGACCTGGCAAAGGGAGCAGTGCCCACATCCACCGGCTCCGACCGCTCTGAGAGCACGGGGTGGTCCTGAGTCACCACGGAAGCGACATGGGGGTGACAGCCATGTCATGGCTCATGCCATCGCTGCTCCAGGTGCTGAGCTGGCTCCGCGCTGACTCACAGTTTGGGGAGAAAGAGCTGCTCTGGTGCTCCAAGAGGATCCCTGGGAGGGGACGGCAACAGAGAGAACCCTGGCAGGCAAATCCATGGGACGCAGGTGGCGGGACTTCCAACCCCAAAGGCAGCGAGCAGCCGGGGAGCCCAGCCCGCCCTGCTGCTTTTCGGTGACAGCTCAGGGTGACCTTTGAAGGTGCATTTTAATCATCCCTACGTAGAGGCTCATTATGTTTTGCTGCATTAAGCAATGCTCAGGAGCACTGCAGTTAACCCTCGGCGCACCGCCACCGGGTAGGGTATCACCTCCTGCTTCCGCTGATGGGGAAACTGAGGCACAGAGATGATGCTTTGACCCGTGCCACCCGCACAACCTGCTCCCAGGCTCCAGCTGGCACAGAGCAGGCAGAGGATCTCAACAGAGACACTGGGGGAAGAAGTTAATCCCCTGGGAGCAGAACAGGTATGCCAAGCAATGAGCCACCCCCCCCACCCCACACAGGTGCCAGTGCTTAGTCAGGTGTTGGAAAATCAGTCCTGATAAGGCGAGGTTAAACAAACACCACTGCAGCCACCTGGCACAGCAGGTTTGCCCCTCGTAACCGTGCTCCTGCCAAAAAACGGGCAGGAGGCTGTCCCTGGGCCATACTGGGGGGCGAGACCAGTGCTGGGGCTCGGCCCCACTGACGCACGGAGCCAACGTGCGAGTACCACCCCCTTGGCATGAGCTGCCCCCGCCGCACCCCCAGCCAGACCCGCTCCTGGAAAGCTAAACCCAGCTGCCACCACGCTCCAGCGAGGAGGGTAACAGGGTCCCCAAATCCCACCCTACCTCGTCCTGAAAACCTGAAGAAGTTTCACGGAGAAGAGCAGAGCTGCCGCTGAACAGACAGCCCTGCAGCGGTGCAAACCCCACTGCCACAGCACACAGGAACAAAAAACCGAGGCGCCTGCACGGCGGGTGCGAACGTCCCAGCCCACGGAGTTTCAGTGGTACCTGTTAGATGTCAGCGGCCAAGGTCTAAGGCATCCCCACCACCGCTGGCCTCCCCCAGCCTGCTCCAAAGCACCGATTTCAGGCTTCAGCTCATGCCAGGACAAGTACCGGAGGGAGTTCCCTGGCAGCACTGCTGTCTGGGGTCTTTCCCACCTGCTGTCCCAGGGTTTCCAGCTTCCAGCCCATGTCAGGAGTAACCATCCCTGCAGCTACGCCGAGGTGGCACAGCTATCTGGGGAGCCACCG